TTTCTTGTCTGGGAGGATCTTTATCTGTCCTTCAATTCTCAATGATAGCTTTGCTGGGTAGAATAATCTTAGTTGTAGGTCCTTGCTTTTCATCACTTTGAATATTTTGTGCCAATCCCTGCTGGCCTGTAAAGTTTTTGTTGAGAAATCACCTGACAGTTTTATGGGTGCTCCCTCGTAGATAACTAACTGCTTTTCTCTTGCTGCTTTTAAGATTCTCTCTTGTTTTTAACCTTTGGCATTTTAATTGTGATGTGCCTTATGTGCCTTGGTGTGGGCCTCTTTGGGTTCATCTTGTTTGAGACCCCGTGCTTCCTGGGGTTGCATGTCTATTTCCTTCACCAGGTTAGGGAAATTTTTGGTCATTATTTCTTCAAATAGGTTTTCAATCCCTTCTTCTCTCTCTTCTCCTCTGGTACCCCTATGATGCCAATGTTGCTATGCTTGATGTTGTCCCAGAGGCCCCTTATATTAGTCTCATTTTTTTTTTTTTTTGATTCTTCTTTTTTTTTGTATTGTTCATTTTAGATGTTGTATTCTTCATTTCTGACTGGTTCTTTTTTATGGGTTTTATGTCTCTTTTATTGCTTATTATCTCTTTGTTAAAGTTCTCACTGAAATTATTTATTCTTCCCCAAAGTTCATTGAGTATTCTTATAACCAGTGTTTTGAACTCTGCATCACGTAGTTTGTATGTCTCCATTTTGTTTAGTTCTTTTTTCTGGAGCTTTGTTCTGTTCTATCATTTGGGACATGTTTCTTTGTCTCCCCATTTTGGCTGCCTCCTTATTTTTGTTCCTATGTATCAGGTAGAGCTTCTATGTCTCCCGGTCTTAGTAGAGTGGCTTTATGTACAAGGTATACTGTGTGGTCCAGTGGCACATCATTCTTAGTCATATGAGCCGGATGCCATAGATTAGTCTTTTGTGTGTGCCCTCTTGTTGTATTTGAGCACTGGTTGCTGTCATCACATCACTGAGGGAGTGACCCTCAGGCTGACTGGTTGTGAGGACTGGATTTGACTACAGTAGAGGAGTTGTTATGCAGGGGCTGACTCTGTGGAGCAGGATTCACTTTAGCAGGGCTCTGGTACCTGCCCAGTCTACTCTTTGCGTGTACCATTTGTGAAGGTAGTTGAGTGGTGCTCTGATGTGGTCTGAAGCTGGTCACCAGGTGTGTTGGTTCTGAGGACTCTTGAGAGGGGCTCTATTGCAGGCCAAAGTCAGCTGTTGCCTGTGCTCTGTCAGGGACACTCGATATGAGCTATGAATTAATATGCATATAGTTGCCACTTGTGCTGGCTTGGAGGTGCCTAGGAGAGGCTAAGCTGCAAATTGAGGCCAACCACTGCTAGTGCTGGGCTTGGGGATGCTCAACTAGAGGTAGAGGGCAAGCCGAGGCCAGATGCTACTTGTTTAGAATTTGTGAACCTTTGAGAGATTTTAGGAAAGTCTGCAGCATGAATCAAAACAGGCCATTTTTGTATGGAAGAGCCACTGAAGCAGCTTGGGCAGGCCTGCAAGTTGGGTGAGGTCTCAAGGAATTACCAGGGCTGGGTGAACTATGTTAGCCATGTTAATCGAGACTCAGATATGGTACCTGCCTACATTTGTATCTACATGCTGGCTGGTGGAAGGGCTCAACAAAAGAAGAATGGCCTCTGCCAGCACTTCTGTCTGGGAGAAAGCTGCCCCTTTAGTCCTTGCCCTGAAGCCAGAAATTCAGTTCCTTCCTGTATGTCCTTGGTGTCTTTTGAGCTGCTGCCCCAGCACTGGAGCTCATTGCGAGTCCATTGGCAAGTAAATTCGTGTGTGGGCCCTTTAAGAGGAATACCTAGGACTCCAGCTGCTCTCCATTTCACTCATCTGCAATCTCCACTGGTTTTCACAGCCAGAAATTATGGGGACTTCTCTTGCCAGCACTGGAAGCCTGCGCTGAGGAGCCATGTAGGTCTGGGACACTTCACTTCTCTGGGAGGACTTCCGCAGTGAGATATATCTCCTGTTTCTTAATTGCCACTCTGTGGGTGTAGGACCAGCTCTTCCATGTCCCTGCCCCTCCTACCAGTCTCCTTGTAGCTTCTTCTGTATGTCCTTAGTTATAGAACTTCTGTTCAGCTGGTCTTCAGGTGATTCTCAATGAATTTTGTGCTATAATTTAGCTGTAATTTTGATGTGGTCTTGGGAGGAGGTGAGCACAGCCTTTGCTGACTCTACCATCTTGACAAGAAGCTCTGGATATTATAAACCTTCTCTTCTTTTTCCATCATTGTTTATAGGGAGTTGAACTCACCAAATATATGTTGAAAATTACGTGGTATGGAGCAATGGGAGAAGAAGCATTTTTGCCAACTACGAGCCAGACCCTTTGCAATCAGGATACAGGTAATATATGGGAGATAATACGTCTCTTAACATTTTTTTAAGCCAGTAGATTTGCTCCATTTCACCAATAATTTTGATTCTTGATTCAGTGCTCTTGGTTTTATAATTTGCCACATCCTCTTTGTTTCCATATTTATCTACATCACTGTAAATTACAGCATAATTTTACATGCCTTCATAAAATAATTTTTTGCCACCCCAGGGACACAATACATCTTCACTAGAAAAATCTGGAGAAACAGCCCATGTTTCCTTTGCTATTTTTTCTTTTGTGTATTTATAAGATGACCCAAGACCATTAAGGTGGGGCCTTATGTACTCACTTTAAAGCAACAGGTACTGGTCCTGAAAAATTGCGTAAGTCAAGAGAGAAAGAAACTTTTCCCTGCTACGTAAAAAATAAGAATCATCAGGTAATGTTAAGAATGATACTGTATTAGGTGTTCTATTGCTGCTGCAACAATTACCACAAACTTAGTGGCTTTAAACAAAACAGATTAGTTACTTTACAGTTCTGTAGGTCATAAGTCTGACATGGATCTCACTGAGTTAAAATCAAGGTGTTGGCAGGGTTGCAAGCTTTTCTAGAGACTTCTATTTCCTTTCCTTTTCCAGCTTCTGGGAGCTGTTTGCAGTCTTTGGCTTGTGTCACCTTTACTCCATTTTCAAGGCCTGCAACAGCAGGTCGAGTCTTTTCCATATTGTATCAGTCCGACCTTCCTTTCTGCCTCCCTCTTTAACCTTTAAGGACCCTTGTGATTATACTGGGCCCACCTGAGTAATCCAGGGTAATGGCTCCAGCTCAAGGTCCATAATTTAATCACATCTGAAAAGCCCCTTTTGTCATGTACGGTAACATAGTCACAGGTTTCACATATTAGGACATGGACATCTCGTAGGTGTGGGTAACCTCTTTAACATCACTTCCCATCCCCTTCACCCTGCTCACTCTGCTCTGGCCACGTTGCCACACTCTAGAATCAGTACTCACTATTGTCCCCCAGAGAATCCCCTGACTGACTCTTTACTTTGTTCATATCTCTGCCCAGATGCCCCTTCTTCAGAGGTCCTGCTTCTATCAAAAAACCATTCTGTGTTTTCTAACCTCTTATTGAACTTCATTTTTCTTCATAGTACTTCTCACTACTCTCCAGGGATTGGATCAGTTTTGCTCCCCTGTGTCACCAGTGTCTACTCTGGTGACTGGCACGTGGGATTTCAAGTAAATGCATGAGCGAACCAACTTCTTACTTTCGTTCTCTAGCATAACATTTTCTTCAGTGAGCTGGATTGAAGTGAAATTCCTATAATTGGAATTATGAGCTGAATTCAGATTGAAGTATGAAAAGTACAACTGTTGCATCTAGTTATTTCACAGAGACTGCTATTTGAGTATATAATCTGGGTAGCCAGATTTAAAACACCTCAATAAGTGATGAACTCGATGTGAAACATTAAGCATCTTTCCGTGTACCTTTGCAAACTAGAGATTTATAATAATAATGGTAATAATTACCATAATCTTTGCTACCATTTACGGAAAACTTACTATGTGTCACTTACTTAGTTCTTTACATTATTCTATTTAATTGTCTCACTCTACAAGGTCATAGAGCATGCATTTATCATTTTGTCTACCCTGTAAAAGTATTTCCTCTACTCAACGCTTCTTTTGGAAAACTGCTCCTCTTCACTCCCATTAAGTGGTTCTGGAAATAGCCTAACCACGGTACCTTGGCTATGGATGGGCATTTGATGCAATCCAGACCAATCAGAATCCCCATAATGGGAGTCCATAGTGGTTGACATATAACCTCAGTCAAGGCAATCAGAATTCTTCCTCTCATTTTGTACCTCAAACTGGGAAGGGAGGGTTCCTTTTTCTCTTGAGTCAAAAAAATGCAAGGATATGAACCCAGAACTGCCTATAGCCTGTGGAGAAGTGAATAGTTGGAGAAAATGGAGCAAGGATAGGAGTTGAAAAGTCCTGACGAACATTATACAGCCTTATTTTCTCCATTTTGCAGATGAACAAACATATATCAGAGCAATTAAATATTTGCTAGTAAATAGCTAGGAAATGGGGGAATTTGATCCCAAGTCAGCCTGACTTTAATATCCATATTTTCTTCCATTTTGTTGTACTATGTTGTATTATGTCCTGGCTTTCCAGACTTATAAATAGCCATCTAGTCTTCCCATTCTGCCTGGTTTCCCATACAACAGGGAAAAGCATACAAATAAAAAGGCCACACAAAAGTTCAAATTTACTAGTAGTACTAGCAGGGAATGTTTTGAACAGTTGTTGATCATCTATGTATTTTATATTCTGATAAATTTGTTCATTTGAGGCTTCATGGCTGGAATGACAAATAAACTCCATCTTTTGTACTAATTCCAATGTATTAGAAATGGCTACCTAGAGCATGGTGGTGAAAAGGATTCTGAGGCTTCATCTGAGCTAGCAGAAAAGGAGAAAAGTAGAGTGAGGAAACGAGCTACTGAATTTGCTCAAAATGTTTGATAATTCAGATTACATTTTAGAACTATGGAACTATGCATTTTAGCATTTATGGAGCATCGAATCAAAGACTCTGATTTTTTTCAGTTCAAAGAATGTCGCAGTTGTTAGCCAGGGGCTCACCTGTGTGCCAGACCAAATTCAATAGTCCCTTCATTAACAGGATGATTGCATCTCATATCAAACGACTTCCTCTACAAAATACCCAGACTGTCCTATCCCACAGCGATGGGATGGGACATGACCTGAATTTAGATTCTAGAACTGAATGTCATCTCTTGGGACTACTCTTTTCTGGTGAGAGGGATGCTAAATCACAGCCACCCTGAAATGCACTGGTATTGTCGAACATTTTCTAACAATCAGATTGGGCCTCACATTTTGTTGGTTGGATGCTCTATTTCTTCATCTTTGGCCCAAGTTACTTAGCAATGGCCAATCAAACTATGCACCCACCATATTGTTTTGCATGTTTGACTAGAACATTGACAGATTAATAGGAAGGGTAAATAGCAGAGCACAACTGCAGGGGCCCAGTGTGGGGCGGCAGGATTGACTGCTCTGGACTTTGTTGTGTTTGCTCAGAGGAAGCCGCAGCAAAAGCCTGCTGGGATGAGGTGACCCAGGTCATGGGCATTTGTTTCTTGTCTCTATAGAAAACAATTGTCTTCTCAATGGAAGATGGCTTTTTCTGAATCTACATGGTTCCACCGATGAGGAAGCATTTGCCAGTTCAGGATGCTTGCTAAAACACACACATACAAATAAAAAGGCCACACAAAAGTTCAAATTTACTGTATCCCCCAGAGATCCTTTGATTTAGGTTAACCAGAAAAGAAGCTTAACGGAAAGTTTATCTTGAGGGTCTCTAAACCTTCGCTCATTCATGGCTAACTCCCAATATTTGATGTTTATGAAGTTTTCATGAAGTTTCGAAATCATCCAGCCACCTTTCATAGAGAGCGATTTTGACCTCAAAACTGCTCTACTCTGAATTGATATGAATGATACATATTAATAATGAAGAAAAATCTACTTTGGGCAAGGTTTAATCAACCAAAAGTGGTGGTTTTATTTAAAAGTGAGAACTATGTCTCTGGTTAATAGATTTCTTTGAATTTCTGCTTTCAAATCTAGCCGATTTGACATTTGCAAAGTTATTGTTTATCCTTTAGAATTAGTTACTTCTAACAAAAAATTCCAAAGGGTTCCACACTAATTTTTGATTAACCTTTTTTTTTATCTCTCTCTCTGTTTCTGTTGCTCTCTCTAATATATAATAAACGAAAATAAATTATATTAATAAATAAATAATATATAATTATTCATATACATACAGTGTATATATATGTGTGTATATATATACACATACACATACATATATATAAAATCAGCCAGACATTTTTCTTGATTTGGTGGGAAGGAGGTGGGACAAAGTGGCATGCTACATTTTTTTCCTTTTCGTAGTTTTAAATCTGCTTTGTCAGATCTGAATAGGTATGAACTATTTGCCTATATCTTTCTCACCTTCACTTCTCTTCTCTATTCTCTACCCTTCCATTTACTTTTCTCTTCTGTCCCTTGTCTTCCTAGGGCTCAGGACTTAGGAAATTTTCTGAAGTGTTATCGGTGGTTGTGGTGGAAACCATTTTAGTTCTTGGATACTTACTTCAAACCCCATTGAATTTAATGCAATTCTTAAACTAAAAAATTACCGTAGGGGGGAAAACACACAGATAAAAAAACAAACAAATTTTGTTAACCAATGTCACCATAATAAAACAAAAAAACCCCCCAAAAAACCTTGAGAAATAAAAACTTCTCAGTGATGCTAAAAACTAGGAGTAACTTGATTATTAAGAAAAATCAAGATGCCTGCACTTATATGATAAAAAACCCTATTATTTAATTAAAATCTACCAGTATTTATTTAACACTCACTCTGTGTTACTGTGAGTATAGCCCCTGTGCTGAGGGAGTTGACAGTCTTGGGTTGAGACATGAGAGAGAGATAATTATCCAAGAATTACAATATAGTGTGCCGAGCGCCATGGTGGTGTGACCTCAGGAGGCTGTTGATAGAGGAAGCGCCAACTCTAATTTGTCCAGATATAGGAAGATGTATGCCTTTCTGGTCTTGTGGCTCTGTACTGTAGCTTAAATAAATCTCATTTGAAGTATATAAAAAAATGAACAACTATCTAGTTGATATCTACATTATAGAAACATGGTGAGACTTGGAGAAGGAACATTCGGCTGTAATTTTTGTGGGTGCAGGAATTGTATCTGCTGCATTAACTGTGTTTGCTGTGAGCCAGGCACTGATCCCAGGACTCCATAAATATCTGTGGAATGAATAGATAGATGACACAAAGCCCGAAGACCTTCATTACCACTTCTTATCTGTGTAACCTTTAGCATGGCCCAGAGTGTCTCCTAGTGTCCATTTTTCCACCTATCAAATGGCTCTATTATACCTACCCATGTCGCATATTACCATAGGATCGAGTCCGATATCGTGAGCATCTACTATGTGGGAGGTACTCATTTAAGGATTTTACATGTTTTTATTCATTTCATCTCCGCAATGAAAATATGAATAAGGTACAGTTATTATCCTCACTTTATAGATGATTGTGTGTAATCATTTTTTTGTGGACTATAAAGTATTATATTATTCAAATAAAAGGCATTGTAATTAATATTTTTAATATTCCAAAAGGCAAAAGCCTGGGAATAGTCCTCTATGAAGTTTGGTCTCTTGTCTGTGACTCTGTGGCTGCCAAATGTGACTGCATTTCTCTCAGATTCTCACTGTAAGAATATTTTGAACCTTTGGATTTCAAAAAACTAAAAGCTCTTCAAATCTCTAGAAAGAAAGATATATCTTTCTTTTGCGTGTATATGCTGCTGGGATTGGAACTAGAAAGCCAGCAGGACCTGCCACGTGAGGGACCAGCTCCTCTTTGACTGGTGGCTTCAGGGACTCTCTCTGCTTCTGTCAGTGCGATAGTCATTCTCCTCTCCTGTCAGGTGGCCTCTTCAGTTTTGTCATCACTGTGGTTTGTCCATGGTCCCCATGGCCTCTCCAGCCCCAACACTACCTCTTGACTTTTCAGCTTCTACTCTCCCAATTCTTTTGGATCATTTCCTCCATCATTTTCATTCTAATTTCTGACATTGGACTGCTAATTTTCTTATGCCATGACCCATCATGATTCTGTAGTCAGCTGATGCTCCAAACAGCTGGGGTGAGGAGGGGCCAGCAATGTCTTGTGCTGTGGAGCTTGGTAAGGGTTGTGGCCAGTGGCTCTTCTGGGAAGAGGTTTGAGCAAAGAGGCAGACCTGGGATACATATCTCTCCTATATCCTCTATTCCTGACCAGCGACTATGACCAGTGACTACATCTAGTATGTCATTGAGGCATCAATGTTATTGTTTGTTAAAATTTACAAATAGGGCTTTTTATTAAATAGTCTCATATTAAAAAAAGTAGAAAATTTAAGACTTATTCCTAATTTTAAAAAAGTTGTATTATATAAAATTTTTTATCAACCCTATGGGCAGTGACCTTCAGTTTAAAAGAAGAAAAGGGTTGTGGGTCGATGACCTCTCAGATTTTAAGTCAATTTGGAGAAGGTAGTGCAGTGATTTTTTAAGTTTCTGTGTTGTGATCAATTCATAGCAGGTTATGCAATCAATTTGATGGGTTGCTACCTACATTTTAAAAATAAGAAACACACTGAAAAGAGTAGAGATCAACACAATGTGCTGTGTACGTAGTAAGGTATTCACTGTTTCCTGAAAATTTTAATTCAGTTATATATGTGTGAGTGTTCTTTGGTCATGACGTAGGATGCATTTCTTCCCATGGAATGTGATTGAAAGACTTGACAGCTACTGGTGTAATGGTTAGACTTGGGTTTGAGGTCCTTTGAGCATTGGTTCAAATCGAACTCCACCATTTAACATCTAAGCCACAGTTTCTTTTTCAGTAAAATGGGTTAGTAATAAGACTTATCTTATACAACAAGATGTTAAAATAATGTGGATCAAGTGCTTAATACTCAACAAACAGTAGCTTATTTTCCTATTTTAAATGAAATCAACCTCTGGTGATTGTTTACTTGATTGAGTTTGGGAAGTTTCTGTAAATTCCTTACGTTTGAGATGGGGATAGGCTTTAGGAACTGGGATAGCAAATGAATGACAAGTGAAAAAAAGCAAAGAAAAGATCTCGGGAATTTAACGTCAACTGGAAAGTCTATTTCTAGATCTTCTCATGTGCTCTAGGTCACTTCCAAATCTCTTTTTTAATGCAAAAATTAATATTAAATGTTAATATTAAATATTGTTATAAATGCCCCTGATCCAATCCTCAGAGATTTTTGAAAGAAAGGAGGGGAAACTGGGCTGAGTAAGGAAAGGTGGAGAATAATTGTCATAGTCCATTTCAGCCACTATAACGAAACACCACAGACTGGGTGGCTTATAAACATTAGAGATGTACTTCTCATAGTTCTGGAGGCTGGAAGTCCAAGGTCAGCGCGCTGGCGTGGTTGGGTGCTGGCAAAAGCCCTCCTCCTGGTGTAGACTTCTTGTCATGTTCTCACGTGGTGAAAGGGGCTGGGGATCTCTCTGGAGCCTCTTTTGTAAGGGCACTAATCCCACTCCTGAGTGTTGTGCTCTCATGATCTAATCACCCCTCTAAGACCCCACTTTCTAATGCCATCACATGAGACAGTGAGACAGGCAGGGTGGAAGGGTGGCAGGCGGCAGCAGCGGTGATGGTGGGGGTATTCCAGCTACTTATTGTTCCTCAACGAATACCCTGAACATAGCAGTATGAAACAACAATCATTTCATTATGCTCTTTAATTGTGTGAGTCAGGAATTCAGCTAGGGCACAGTGGGGGTGACTTGCTTCTGCTCCATGACGTCTGAGGTATTAGCTGGGAAGAGAGGGAGGCTCAGGTTAACTCAAATGGCTGGGAACTGGAAGTTTCTTCACTCCCATGTCTGGCACCCAGGCTGGGATGACTAGAAAGCTGGATTCAGCTGGAATTGTCAGTCAGTGCATTCACCTGTGGCCTCTCCATGTGACGTAAACTTCCTCATCATCTGGTAGCCTCAGAGTACTCAAATTTCCTGTATGGTGACTCATGGCTCCAAGAACAAGTGTTCCCAGTGGGCAAGGAGGAAGCTGCCTAGTTTTTATCACTTAGCCTTGTGAGTCACATGGCATCACTTTTTCTGGACTCTACTGGTCAAAGCCGTCACAAGCCTGCTCACATTC